GAAAAAATAAAATAGAAGTACTCAAAATTATAAAATTATACTAAAGTACAGTACTTTAGTAACTACCTAGTTCATTGAAAGACTGCGTGAATGATCATAAATACATATTTTGAGTGGCTGTCATATTTCATGGTATAGCTGCAGAATATGTTGCTAACAGCACACAAGAAACTACAGTGTCCAAACAAAACCTTTCAGTATTGTTATTAAACATATAACCAAGTATACTCATGTTGATGATGGTTCATTTCAGGGTTCAAGGGTTCTGCTTTATTCAATGTAACAGTGAACGACATTAATGTAAAGCTTTTTTTTACTGTAAGTTAAACAGATTGAAAACATTTATTAAACTGCAGAGGTTAAACAGCTGAAGCAGTGTGACAGTATTTACATCTTAACAATGAGCACCAGGAAAGCAGCTAGTCAGCTGCATCAGACACTTCCCAGTTTATTCAAGCAGCATGGTGATCACTCTCCTCTCTGCTATTGGCTTTGCAGTGATTCCTGCTGTTGAGAAAAGTTCCACATGTGACTGTATCATATCTAAAAGGTCATTTCAGAATAAGATTTATGCAGAAACAAAGTACTTTTATTCGGAAAATCTCAGTTTGTACCCTATCGAAATATAGGCACGTACTCTTCAACAAAAAATAAAAAATAAAATCCAGCATCCACCCTCACGGGCTATGCCTTTAGTTTGAGTATATTTATTGCATGTCTGTTTGTCTTTTTGCTCCATCACGGCTATTCCTGGTACTGTCTCTCTGTAGCAGTGAAGAAATCCTCCAGAACGCTCCTCAGGTACTCGAAGGTGGGCCTGTCCTCTGGACTTTCTGTCCAGCACAGACACATGACGTTATAAAGCCCGTCTGGACAGTTGTCTGGCTTTGGCATTCTGTAGCCCCGCTCCAGGCTCTGGATTACCTCTGGGTTGGACATACCTGAACAAATAAAATGCAGGAGAGTAGCCAATGATGTTTTAAGCAATTACAATCCATGCTAGACTTATAGACGTAATATTATAAAATGAGTACAGTGAATAAGTTTATTTACCAGGGTAAGGTATGCGTCCATATGTCACTATTTCTGTCAGGAGGATCCCAAATGACCACACATCCGATTTTATGGAAAAGGTGCCATAGTTAATAGCCTCTGGGGCAGTCCATTTGATGGGGAACTTTGCACCTATGAAAAAAAGGGGAAGCTTTATTCCTCAAATAAAGCATGAACACATGGTGGAGCTACTGCACAGATTTATAGCCCGCTTAAATTTTTGTGATTCCGTTTAAAGTCTTTCCATGCCAAATACCCCCAACAAACAGAAACCCTATGATGAAAAACATAATATTCTGTAAGACACATTATTTATTATAAAAGGTTTCACATATTAGTGTAATATAAGTGATCTCTACAAGGTCTTATTACCCTCTCTTGCTGTGTATTCGTTGTCCTCAATCAGCCTTGCCAATCCAAAGTCGGCAATCTTACAGATGAGTTCTTGAGACACCAGAATGTTGGCTGCTCTCAGGTCTCGATGAATGTAATTTTTCTCCTCAATAAAGGACATGCCATCAGCCACCTGCAGGGGACAGCACACCATCAGGCAAGCCCTATGTCTGTCTGTTCAAGCATGAAAGTATGAGTGTGAGGGACCTGTGTATTTTATAGTATTGTGTAATATCTGTGTGTGTGTTGGACAGACAGACAGAAAGATTCCCAGACCAGGGAGTTTACCGCTTCCCCAGGTCAGTTCTTTCTACCCTTTACTTCTGTACTCCACCCAGGTGCACAGCTGTTCCTGCTCTACTTCCTGATACTTAAAACTGCAGCCCAGCTTTTACCTCACCACAGACTGGCTGATTATTCCAGTGTTTATGATTCAATCAAATAAGACTTGAGTCATTTGCTCATAGGCATACCTTAGAGTCAAACTGATACTACACCTAATGCATGACGCGATTGGTGAGTGAGGTATATAATCAAGAAAAGTTGATGATTTCCACAGAATTCAACACCCACACTTCATAAGCATCCGTGTCACTTGTATGTGTGTGTGTTCAAATATCTTACTCTCTACGTTTAGCTGGGTCAGGGGTGTATATTTCAGACATAAGAATCTATCACATAGGTCCAACTGGCCCTGGAGGTGTTCTCAGAAACATGAGATGTACGTATGTCTGTGTATTTTATAAACTTTAGGGAACTCAATGCCTCTTTACTCTCCATTCCATTCATTTGAGTGTGGTATGAATAAATCAAAAACTTTAAACCATTTATTTGCATTCATTAAATGAATTAGGAATCGGCTTTACTTTCATATAGCTAACATTCTTTTGAGTCAAATCTCAAGCTCTTCTGATAGCATAAGACATAAGGGTCTGGACGGTGTCACCAGGTCATTAATCAAGTTTTATGGTCCATCACATGATGGTTAAAGTTACTTACTTAGCATTTTAACCAAAAATGCTATCAGTGCGTGGCGACTGGCTTGAAAGCGTCTTTCTCTAAAATATGTTCACCAGAAAGCTTTGTATAACTCTACCTCTCTGCGCCAAGTTCTCAGGCGTCGGAGAATCTGCCTACTCCGGATGAACAATCTTTTCTCTTGTTAGATTTTGAAACTTCAGTCTGTCTTCCTGTGGTTGTGTTTTCCATTCCCACACCCACAATGCATTTCAGTCAAAGTTCCTTTACTGACGTAACATTTCAAGAAGTAGTTGTGGGTTTGACATTTTGGGAACTACTCTTATCACTTCTATCATACCACTTTGTTGTCCAGAGTTGGATAAGAAGATTGATATCATCACACTAAAAATGAAGGTGTGTATCTATGTTCCCAGGGTCTTTAAGTTCCCTAACCCCCTAACCCCTAACCTTTGAACTGGGGAACATAGGACCCTTTGTCTTGTTCCCATTATGTGTCATGTAAATATGTGGAACATAGGACCCTGGGAACATCAGAATGACCCTAACTGAAGCTATAGCCATTAGCTGGTTAGCTTAGCATAAAGACAGAAAAAAAGGGGAAACAGTTAATCTTGCTCTGGTTTATATCTTGTACGTTTGTTTGAAATGTTAGAAATTGAGTATCCTAGAGCCTTCAAAAAGGGGCGCAATAGCTTTTATTCTTAACATCTTGTCTTATTTGCAGAACCCATCACCCTCTGAGGTCTACATGGCCTTATTCAGATTGCTGCATCGCCTTTCTAAGATATAGAAAGGTTAACTTTAGAGACAGTGGCAGTGACCTAATTTGTCCACTTACTGGAGTTCAGTCTTAAAAACACTGTCAGATATTTTCAAAATGCTGATTCAGCCGGACCTATGATAGCTAATTTTGGCATAGCATGAAAGAACTATAACGGACCTGCCTGAAACTAAACTCAAAATAACATCTGTCACTTTGTTAGCACGGAGATTCTTCACTGGAAGACTCCTCATCCACCGAGCTAGACTCACTGGCTGAGGAAGGTGATGCAGCAAACTTGAGAAATTGAGGTTCACAACATGTGGCTCCATTTTTAGACCATTTATAATGTAGTAATTTATTATTATCTTTGTCTATTTCTGCCTCTGTAGCCCATCACAATGACATAAACCTTGGGCATTAACTGTGTGCAACTGCCTGCTTCAAAAAAAGGATGTCACTGCTTGTAACCAAGAAATTGTTTGGCACATAACCCTAGAAAAAACACAATTTCTTGTTTTGCATATTTAACAATGCAGATATAACATGAGTAAGCTTTATGGGTCCTGGTAGGCGGTTTCCAGTCTTTGTGCTAAGCTAAGCTAACTGCCTTGTGACTGTAGCTCTTTTAACAGACATATATGAGAGTAGTATGTAGTAGTATCAAAAAAGTGTAAAACTATAGCGTTGACTTGCAGTGTATATTACACCCCACGTTCAAACATCTAGCTGACCAAATTAGTCATTTGCCAGGCTTTAAATTAGTGTACACACAACATGAACTTTTATATGGATGACAGCACACAAATGTTATCACTTTGGCAGAGCTGTGACAGTGCCTCTTACTGTAGGTTGATAAAAGACAGCAAGACAGATTCAGAGAAATTAAGCGGAAAATCTGTATCAACACTGAGTTTCAGGTTTTGTCACCATGCCCTATTTTTTATAGTTTAGCTGAGTCTGCACCTTGGTAAGTAGATAAAAGAGGTGGTATGGCATGCACACACACCCATTCACCTCTGTTGTTATTACAAGATTAGTGTTGAATGTAAGCCTCATTACAACAGTGGGTAATTTCCTGTCATGAAAGAATAAATAAAAGACAATTGAGCAAATGGAGTGAAAAGAGAATAGAGCATAGACACATTGATAGTAAAAAGAGATGTCTTGCCTGAGACGCCATGTCTATCAGAGTGTTCATGGGCAAACTGCTTCCCTCTGGTGTTTTAAGGTAATCCACTAGGCTACCTGTAAAAATGACATTCAAATTACATCTCTTTAGAAAAGCACCTATTATATTTACTGACTAACTTGCTGCTGCTTATTAAGCTGAACAAGATGAATTTATTTCACAAATCATGTCAACCTCAACAGGTGGACTCCAGCAACCTATTTCTGCAAATGAATGGGTAAACTAGGTTACAACCACCAGCACATCTATATATTACAGATGCATATACTCAAATTGTATTTGAAGGTGCTATGTACATAAGATTAAGCAACAATTAAATGTAATATTAATTGGAAAACAAAAGTAATAACATGCTTTGTCCAGAAGACTAATGACATTTTCCTTAGTTTATCATCATGATTCCCCACAGACATAAATAAACTGAGTTAGACCAGAATAGTTGTTCAAATCAGGTATCATAACACTGTGAGGAAGTACACAGAGCATCAGTCAAGTTGATGCACAGTTTTTGACAGCTGACTTTGTGTTGAGTTTGATTAGCACAGAACAATACCTCTGCACGCCAGCCAACCAAGTAAAACCAAAGGAAATACTTTAAGAGGAATGACTGTGCCAGGAAAGAGGAGGCCTTTGCTCCTCTGCTTAAGTCCGGAAGACTGCTTTTGAAGTCTGAGAGCCAGAGGAACGCTCTTTGTCAAGGTCACAAAGGGAAGCTGGGCTGACACGCCTGTTATTTTCCATCTTTGTTGTCTTCTTCGATAATAAAAAAGGCACAAATTGAAAAGACGGGAACTCCAAGCCATCCTTTCTCTTGACAACAGAGGCGACAATTGTGTCCTGTGCACACGTGGATCCCAGACAAAGAGGCAGCCTCATGTAGAGCCACTGCTGGTGGTTTACAGGCCACACATACAAGACTATACAAAGGCTGGCCATTCAATTCAGCTGTAAGGCTGTTTGTGACAACATCTTCCTATGCATTTTGTTATTGTTCCTCCCAGTGAAAAAAGAATTACAAAGGCTTTTGAGGCTACAGTGAAACAGATACTGGATCACTTTCATATGACTTCTGCATTTGGGTGTAAGAAACTATTACACGACATTCATTCGAGTTCATAATATGGAAAGCTGTTTGCTACCATGTTATTACTTGTGTTTGTCACAGACAGTCATTTCACATGTATTTTGTTATGTAAGAAGGGAAAAGAAGAACATCCAGTGGCAAGATGCAGAACAAACTGCCATTGTCGTAGTCTGTTTACTACCACAACCTTATAGTGTTCCAGTATTACTGTGCATGTGTCTGTACATGTGTCTGTGCATGTGCCTGTGAGCCTCTATGGATGCACGAGCATAACACAGACTCTGGAAAGTAGCCAGGCCTCATCAGAGGTGAACAATAACTTGGTGAATCACCCTCTCCTGTTTTAATGTCCCTTGGTCTCAGACCAGCCAGGAGACCTTCTGTGAGTAAACACCAGTAACCTGTCTGGAGGGGCCCGGAAAAGATGTGAAAGTTCATGTTTGCTTTGAAACATTTTCGCACAGAGCGGCAAATACAGGAGGGTCATGAGGAGAAGCTGAAAATAGCCTATCAGAAGGCAGGCCACTTCAGTAGAGCAGCCTGCTTTTGGAGGCAAGGCTCATGACTTAGCTCCCTTATTTAGGTTTGCTCACGTAACTACATTAGTTTACAGTCGCAGGTGATGATTGTTCTGTGCATCTCATATCATATCGTTGATCAAACACAAATAAGAAGGCAGCTGTGGCTGTGTGATCAAAAAACTAATTCAACAGAGTCACTGGAGTGGAACACACGTCTGAAAACACTATGACTCATGAAAGTGGTGAAACACATGGGGCAGCCCAGTCTTTTGTTCAATCGTGAGCTCTAGCAGCCAGAGTCTTGATAACAGATCAACAAGTTTGATCCTGAGTGTCTATGACATGGCTCTGACTATAAAACACTTTCTTTGTCTTTGCTCCAGGCACAGAGCTTACCCAGATGACACCATCTTTGGTGTTCAGGGTAACGGAGCAGGAGATTATCGTTTCAGACAAGCTTAGACATATTTTAGGTGACTAAACTAAAAAGAAAGGAGTTGGTATGATTACAGAAGGATTTCTCTCTCATTTATCTTCAAATGAGCATTCATTTCATAGAAACACCATTGGACATGTTTTTTGTTTCCTTCTGATGTATTAATCTGTATCTATCTGGAATTCCCTATTGATGGTTGGCCCTATTAGTAAAATGCTCCAGGCTGTGACACATAGAGTATTTCTACCCACCATTTTCCATGTACTCTGTGACAATATAGATTGGCTCCTGGGTAACGACAGCAAAGAGGCGGACGAGGCGGGCATGCTGCAAGTTCTTCATCATGTTGGCCTCTGCCAGGAAGGCTTCCACCGACATTGTGCCCATCTTCAGGTTCTTAATTGCCACCGTCCTATCATTATTGTAGACACCTGAAAACATACATTTAGACATTACTGGGTTTCTGAAAGCCATTGGCAAGAGTCTCTGCAGCAGCTCTGTGAGGCTGAACATAGGTATAATGGTGCTTTGAGCTAAATGCTAACATCAGCATGCTAACTTGCTCAGGATTTCATGTTAACATACTGATGTTGAGCAGGCATAATGTTTACCATGTTACCATGTAGTTTAGCATATTAGCATGCTGACATTCACTATGTAGCACTAAACACATAGTAGCCTACAACTGAGGTTGATGGGAATGTCATTCATTTTGCAGGTTAGTCATAAAGTATTTGACTAATAGACCTTCTTCACAGCAGCCATTTTTACATGAAAAAGTAGGGTAAACACAGCTGTTACCAATGATACTAATTAAAGCTCTGTTCCATTTAGTGTAGTGGAGCCTTTCCAACATGCACAATAGCAGCACCCTGACTCTGTTTGACCTGAATGTAACTAAACCTTAACTGGTATCATTGGTACCACTTTTATTTACCCTACT